CCCAACTTACGACCCAAAACCCACTAACCCTTCCAATTAAAACCTAGACCTAGACCTATATAGATAGGATTAGGCTACACATAAAGAGGGCAGATTTTTCCATTTCTGGGACGACCCCTTTAACAAACGGCGCTACACCCTCTTCTTCTGGGATCTTCTTCATTTTTCTAAAGAACATATAGAGAACAAAAAACCCTTGTTCTTCTTCCTCATTTTAGAAACAATGAGCTAGAACGTTTTCATCTGCGTTTCTGGGATTCTGAAGTAGCTGCTATAATGGGTTCTTCTTTCCAATTCAACAAACTCACTAATTCTCTCTCTTTACCCACCTGGGTTATTCATGTTTCTAGTGTTGTTGAATGAGAAGTCCGATTGAAATCGCTGTTTGATTTTTGCTGATTATTGGCTCGTACTGTTAGCTGAGCTCCACGCCATCCTCTTCCTCCATTGTTCTATTGAAATCAGTTGTTTTCCGTTGGCAATCAAGCTGCTGATGAGTATCCCGTGAACATTTCGGGCTTTAGCTTTCTGTTTCAGTTTCATTTGGATAATTTTGAGCTTTATTGTTGCTTGTCCAGGTATGGCTCTTTGACTAAATGACATAAACCTGCAGATTTGTTTGAGAATAAGAATCGGTGGAAATTGTTCATGTATCATCTGCCCTGTTACCTTTGTTTGATGGCTACGTTTGTTTTGTTTAATTGTTGAAGTTTTTGGTTTCTACTTTGTTTCTTCGTCGACTCTTTCTTGATCTTGGTCAGATCATTTTTTTTATCATTTTTCTTAATCAATTTTTTTTGATTCGTATGTTTACTAACAAATTTAGTTGACTTGTTCATATTAAAGGAAGTTTACTGAATTTTTTTTTGAATATACTATATTTGAAGTCAAAGAATATAAATTAGTGTAGTATTTTAATTGCAGCATTATACAGTTTTATTAGTGTCATAGCTTTCATATAATTAACAGATTCATATTTCAATGGCTAATTCATCCATGTACTCGAGTTGTTAAGTATTTCCAGTATGTTTAAGTTAAATTGGTCTATCCTTTTTGTAATTGGCCTAGTGATTAAGGAAGGCCCAAAATGCCTTCCTTTTTGAAAAATGAATTCGGCCGTCTAGGAGTTGGGATATGAATTGATCAAAATGGCTCATTTCGTTGTTACATGTCAACGTTTTGTATTTAACTTCATGAATGGTTCCATAAATCATACTTTTCATGTAATCGAATTTGTCCATAATTCATGACCCTCACAAATTTAGATCAAGGACTAATTTTTCTTAAAATAATTTGAGGTATGCCATTTTCATTAAATAACCCATGGTCCTCATGCAAGTAATTTCAACTCTTTAGAAATCGAGGTGTGCCATTAGTTGAATTTTTCATGGCCCTCGCAAACCTTGTTATTAACTTGACAGCGCGTAGTTACTTTAGGCGCGCTATTTTAAAATTAATTTCCTAAACTCGGGTGTGCATTTCATGTGACCCAAATCGAAATCTCAACAACGTTAAATAAAATATGTCGTGGACTGCGGGTGCATTTCTATGTATCAATTTGGACATATGTTTTTCTAATATGTTAAGGTCATAAATTCTACTCTTATCCTGAAATTTACTCTACATATGAAATTGTAGGAAATGTTTTTAGCCGGAACAGAGACAACTAGCAGCAGTGTAGAGTGGGCATTAACTGAGCTTTTGCGAAATCCAGAAGCAATGGCAAAAGTGAAAGCAGAAATTTCAGAAGTAGTAGGCCCAAATAGGAAGTTTGAAGAGTGTGACATAGACAATCTATCCTATATGCAAGCCGTGCTAAAGGAATCGCTACGTTTACATCCTCCCCTACCTTTCTTGATTCCAAGAAGAGCAACTCAAGATACAAAGTTCATGGGGTACGACGTACCAAAAGGCACTCAATTATTGGTAAATGCTTGGTCAATTGGACGAGATCCTGAATGTTGGGACGACCCTTTTGAGTTCAAACCCGAGAGGTTTCTTGGCTCAAACGTAGACGTTAAGGGACAGAATTACGAGTTAATTCCATTTGGTGCAGGCAGAAGGATGTGCGTTGGCCTTTCTTTAGGTCATCGTATGATGCATTTCGCGTTTGGATCGTTGCTACATGAATTCAATTGGGAGCTTCCTGATAATATTACTCCTAAATCCATGAACATGGATGAGAGTATGGGAATAACAGCAAGAAAAAAACAACCTTTGAAAGTGATTCCAAAAAGAGCTTGAAATTATAATTTTATTTCTAATGTTCCTTTGGTTGAAATCTGTTTTGAGTTTGGTATAGATATTGTTATTACAAAACAAGTTTAGAAGTTTCTGAAAAGGCTTCTATCATAAAATAAAGGGAAAAAGGCCAAAATTGTCACTGTACTATCGAAAATTAGTCACGTTTATATATGTTTCTACTTTCGGTCCAAATATACGCCTATCGTTAGTAAAGTATACAAAATCGTCCGTAACCCTAATAGATTTCCAAACGTGATAAAATTATTAATTATAAAAAATGCTATAACAATTTTAGATGGAAAGTAGAAATGGGTATAAACGTAACTAATTTTCGATGGTATAGGGATAATTTTAGCCTTTTTTCCTAAAATAAAATAAAAAAGTCTTGTTCTAGAGTCTAGACTCCCAAATATATGGGGATTATCTTTTTGTGATGACCCAAAAAGTCATCACTTGTTTTTAAATTAAATTCTGTGTTTTGAGGCCTTAAAAACCACTTTCAGCATCACCTCGATTTGCGTGCGCAGTCCGGGCATGTAGCCGGAAGTCTATATGTTGAAATCTATGAAAAATGATAAAATTTGGCTTTAAAATAAATTAAGTCGACTTCGGTCAACATTTTGGGTAAACGAACTCGGACCCATGATTTGATGGTCCTGGAGGGTCCGTAGGAAAATATGGGACTTGGGCGTATGTCCGGAATCGAATTCCGAGGTCCCAAGCCCGAGAAATGAATTTTTGAAAGAAATTATTTTCTGAAAAATATAAAGGTTTTTGAAAGTGAAATGTTATGTGAAACCTGTGGTATCGGGCCCGTATTATGCTTCTGGAGCCCGGTACAGGTTCAATATGATTTATATGTGTTGTCGGTAAAATTTGATAAGAAACGGACTTGAAACGATGTGAATCGGATAGTTATTGAGAAAATTGGAAATTTGAAGTCTTGAGAAAGTTTCATGATTTTGATGCTAAATTCATAGTTGTTGATGTTATTTTAGTGATTTGAATGCACGAGCGAGTCCGTATGATATTTTTAGGGTGGTGTGCATGTTTGGTTTGGAGCCCCGAGGGCTCGGGTGAGTTTTGAATAGGGCACGGGGTGAAATTTTTGACTTAAGGAATTGCAGGCCTGCAAGCTTTGCATTTGCCAACCTCCCTTCGCAATTCCCAGCTCGCATTTCCCAACCTCCCTTCGCAGTTCCCAGCTCGCATTTCCCAACCTCCCTTCGCAATTCCCAGCTCGCATTTTCCAACCTCCCTTCGCAATTCCCATAACTGCAGCCTGCAACTTTTTATACTTAGCCGAAAAACAACCCTTTTTCACATCATTTCAAAACAAAAACTCCCTAGAGCGATTTTCCAAGAACAACTCTTCTTCCAAATCGATTGTAAGTCAATTTTTACTAATTTCCTTCAATCATTAATATCTTTTAACATGATTTCAAATCAAAATCAATGATTATCATTGGGGAAATTGGGTGTTTTGGGTAGAACCTAGGTTTTTTTTAAAAAAAAATAGATTTGACCTCGATTTGAGGTCCGATTCCAAAATAAATTATATATTTGAGTTCATAGGTGAATGGGTAGTCGGGTTTTGGTTCGAACCTCGGGTTTTGACCATGGCTGTTTTTTGACTTTTTGGGAAAGGCTTTAGAAAACTTATTTCCATGCATTAGAAATTGTTTATTTAACATTCATTGATGTAATTAAGTAACTTGTGACTAGATACGAGCAAATTGGTGGTGGAATCACGAGGTAAAGCTATAGTTGAGGCTTGAACTGAGTTCATGGCATCGAGGTAAGTGTTTGGTCTAACCTTAGCTTGAGGGAATAGGAGTTTGATCTTGTATGCTACATGTTATGTGTTGAGTACGACGTATAGGTGTGGTGACGAGTATCTATACGTCGGTGTCGAGCATGACCGTGAGTCTTAAATGGGAAGTTATTGTGTTATTGAGAACTACTACGAATGCCTAAGTTGTTGACTCTCTGTGTTGAGCAAGGTTTATAATTATTCTCGTAGAGATTACTCATGGTTGAGCATTTTTGTTAGTTGAGGTAGTAGATGTTGGAACAAGTTTGGTTATAGCTGATTTTCCCTTGCCGGGATGTGTTCATTCTTATTGTTGACTCCCTTGCCGGGATAGTGTAGTTCTTATTGATCCCTAGCCGGGACTCTTGATATGGTTGATGTTGATTGTATATTTGGATCGGGTTGTACGCCGCAACAATGACATATTTGGATCGGGTTGCACGCCGCAACAATGATATATTTGGGTCGGGTTGCACGCCGCAACAATGAGATATTTGGATCGAGTTGCACGCCACAACAATGATATGATTGGGTCGGGTTGCACGCTGCAACAGTGATAAATGATATGGATCGGGTTGCACGCAGCAACAATGTTGTTATATGTTGGGATCGGGTTGCGCGTCGCAACAATTGTTGATACAAAGTGTTTATGGATGGAATATAAGTTCCTTGTTGTTTTGTTGTAAATTATAAGTGGTCCTTGTGCCTTGTTCTTGATTTACTGTTGAAACTGATATACCCCGCAACATGTACCCCCTCCCATCTTTACTTGTTTATTTCTGTTTATATTCCGCTGTATATTATATAACTGCACAGGTTTATTCGGTAGTCTGGTCCTAGACTCATCACTACTTCGCCGAGGTTAGGCTAGGCACTTACCAGCACATGGGGTCGGTTGTGCTGATACTACACTCTGCACTCTTTTGTGCAGATCCCAGTGTTGTAGATTTCGTACCGCAGTGAGGTTGCTGCATATGGTCCATCATGTAAGGCCCCGTGAAAACTTGTACTCAAAACCTAGTAGCTCGCAGTGCCAAGTTCCGAGTATGTGTTAGGAATGTGTAAAATTCAAGCTCGCCGCGGTTCGGACCCTTTGTACAGATCTAGCATATAAAAATCAAGAATCAAAGTTTTCCAGAAAAGTGCTATTGTGCGGTCCAGAATGCGGTCGCAAATCAAGTATGCAGACCGCATTTCTGTCGCAAAGTGAGTCAGGATGTTAGTCAAAGTTGAGGTCAAAATGCGGTACATTATGCGATCGCATAACTGGTATGCGGACCGCATTTCTGCCGCAAACCCAAACAGAAATGTTCAGAGTTTTGGAGAACTTTTACGGTCCATTCTGCGGACCGCATTTCCTCTTTGCGATCGCATACCTGACTCGGGGCTTCAATTTTTCTAACTTTTAAACCCGACCCCTTCTTCAATAAAACACCCCAACCCTTCATTTTAACATATTTTCTGAACAAACCTAGAGAGAGGGAAGAGAGAATTCTTGAGAGAGAAAAGTCTTATCTCCACCAATTTGATTTTTCAAAGTCACCCAGGCCGGGAAATTTCAAGTAATTGTCTTCGTCTTCGTTCTTGCAGGTAAAATCCCCAATCCTTTTTTATTGGTTTTCATATTTAAACAAAAAGGGAGATTCTCATACATTGATTCTTGAAAAATATAAGTGTGAGCACGTTATTTTTGCCTTGCATAATTTACTCCTACAGAATTCCTAAAATTAGGAGTTTTCTTTTAATTATTTGATTTTAGGAATTAATTGCATAATTTTCATGTTTGTTTGCATTTTTGTGTGCATAATTAATTTATATAATTCATAAATACAAAAAAAATAGTGCATTTTCATTTAGGACCCAATTTTATATTTTTAGGTTAATTATTTAACTAATGTTACAAAAAATGAATGGAAATACCAAAAATAGTTCATATTGCATTTTTACTCTTTAATTTCGAATTTTGTGGTTTTTTCTTCTAAATTAGGAGTTAATTAATTTTGTAAATACTATGCTTAAGTATTTAATATTGTTGATAGGTTAATTTAGTTTTAGGATTTAATTTAGGTTTTATTTTAATTTTGGAAAGGGAAGGGAAAAGAATTAATTTTTTAAAAAAAAGGAATTGAAAAGGAAAATAAAAGAAGTCTAGATTTGGGCCATTTCAGATTAATTTCCCCAATCCCAAACCTTTTTTGCCTTAAACCCGTCCAGAAATTGGCCCAATCACTCAAAGACCCAGTCCGTCTCCCATTAAGACCCAAACGACGTCGTTTGGAGTTCTCATCTCTAGTTCAATCTGAACCTTCCATTTCCCTCCATCGAACGGCCCTCAAGGTTTCTCCCCAAACACATAAAAGTCGTGTTGGGGTAAGTTCAAAATCTGAGAAGTGAAATACATTGTGAGCCGGGTCCCAGCATGTGATCAATGCCCTTATGATGTCTCCCCTGGGTATAATCTCCAACAGTCCGGGAAGGCCCCCCAAATATTTCTTGACCTCGTCTTGCCCTTCTCCACCTAAATCATTCCACCACAGCCGCAACTCCAAAGGGATTTTTCTTATGATTGAGAAAGGTTCATTTTGGATTGTGCTCATCCTGCACATTTATTAAGGTGATTAAGCAAAACAGTCATGATTTTATTCTATTTGACTCCGAAATCAAAATTGATCCCTTCTTTTTTCATATTTTTAATTCTAAAACCAAAAGCCCAGCTTTGCAGATACGACCTTTCAGCACTTCCGGAGGAAGATTTTAAGGTTGTGCCTGCTAACTGGACAAAAATTGGAAAAAGACCAAAGGTGGCTGTTTATGCAAAATCAGCCTTCCGGCGTCCCTTTCGGGAACATTCGGCTATTTTTGACAAAAGCGGCATCACCTTACCTATTTACAATAAAAACAAAATTTGTTCATTTCGGGCTATTTTTGCAAAAAGAAGTTGGACCCGATGGGGGTTGCCTACGTATCCCACACCCTGTGAGAATCAAACTGGCGTAGTTCGGAAAAATAAAACAAACTATTTTTGAAAACAAGACTCCTTTTTTTTTCATTTCATTGGCGAATATATAAACTATTTTTGAACACAAGACTCTTTTTTTCCTTTTTCATTGGCAAATAAAACATACTATTTTTGAAAACAAACACATTTTTTCGTTCTATTTTTTTCATTTTCCCCACAAAAAAAATTCGGCAGAGTTTCGACACTATTTGGACATTGGGTTTTCTTACAAAACGGGTGATTACCTCTCTCAACCCTCACACCGCTATTTTCTTTCCCAAACTCTCCCCTTTTTTAAAAGCCGATCGGCATGCAAATC